ACTAAACATTTTAAGTTTGATTCAGACAGAAAGCTAAATCCTTGATTAAAAATTTGAACCAAATTTCTTGACGTGGTTACCAACTGCAAAATAGAAAAGGCCACAGTGTATCTGCTATTTTTCTTATTTATTCAATTTTCAGCAATACAAATTAGATCCGTCTTTTCTCACGCAAAGCTTATGATCAGTTGATTACAACGACTGGAAAAAAATTGAGGTGCCCATGCTCATTGGTTAGCTAGAGCCATTTTTCAACTGACAGAGCTCAACATCAAGGCAAATCCGTCATGTTTTCACTATGCGCGTGCACTAGCGTGCGCTAATAACGCCATAAATTATGCACAGTAAGGATGCACAATGCAAATGTGAGGAATGACCTTAAGAAACTTCATTTGCCCATGGGGCCTTTCCATCTCTTTTATATGGTGTTGCAAGGCATTTCGATTCAGTAATCATATTTAAACATGAAGGCGTACTATGAAAGGGCATAAGCTCCTCCCCCTAATTTTGAATTCACCCAAGATATGCTTGCTTCACACTCTGACAGTATTCTACAATACTCACTGGGATCAGACTTGACATTGCAAATACAGTTGAACTATACCATGTCCAACTCCCAGGGGAAACAAAAATTGTTTGAAATAGTGGGAGTTCAAAATAGTTGATAGTAAATAACTGAAGAGCAAAACCAAGGCAAATGGTTTTGAGTTCGAAATAATGAGGAATTCACTTACAGCTCACATTTCATGTATTCAAATCGCCCGCAATTTTGAATTTGACCCGCGCATGTCAACATTGACTGACAAATAAGCCTTGGTCTTCCCAGGGAAGACTTCCTTATATAAGGCGCCTTTGTGTTTAATTACCTTGGTCATGCTATAAATAATAATGAATGTTAACATGATTGTCTGTATGTTGTTATTTCCACAGGGCCACAATTGAAGAAAGTCCAATAACCTACACTATGACACAAGATGAAGTGCGTCTCTCAGCTGAAATCCTGAAAACGATGTTTAACATCACAATAAACCTCCCTGACCCCAACAGTACAGACACACATGAACACTGTGAGAGGATTGTGTTCATTGCACGGTCCATGTTCGTACATGTCAACCCTCTCCCTGACCACCCAGAAAACCTTCCTAACCATGCTATTAACATTGTGAGCAATATGCCGTCTAACTGCCTTAAACATCTCTTATGGACAATGCCATCTAGTGTTTCTAGGAAGCTTGCTCAGGATTTCGAGACAAAGCGTCCATCCAAGCAATTTAAGATACAGTTTAAGGTTAGATTGCTAATAGATATCTTCAAAGGATGTTATGTTTATCTATTAATTTTAGTGTTTTGACTGGAGGGCATGTGTAGATGGTGTAGTTTACAATGATTTTCAAGTCAAAATGATTTGCAACTAGTTTGGACTGATTTGCATTTTGTCTTATATTTCCAGATTTATTGCCATTATCCTGAAACATAGAATTACAAATCAAACTAGTATGAAATCATTTTACCTGGAATTCCTTTTAAACTAAAGCACATGACTTTTGTACTAATGTTGTTACTCCTAAAAAGATTTCTTTTGATAACCATACAAGTAGAAAGCAAACAAATTATTTGCTTCCTTGTTGGGCACTACTGGAAACACAATCATACAATTGAGAGAGTAATACATTTATATTGTACTTGTAATTTCAAATTAGCCTCACGTTGTGTCACTGTGCTCATCCAATTTTGAAATTGCTTTGCAACTACTCCCTGAACTGTACTCCACTCAGTCCAATTACCATTACAAAGTGGTTGATTGAGAGATTATATTTATCAATTCAGCAGAGATTTTCAGCCTCTCTGAGTATATACTGTATAGTAATTAAGAAAAAGAACTAAAAATTAACAGAATATGTTTGTTGAATTCTGTAGTCCTTAGGATAGTTTTTTTTTTCTGTGAAAAAAGTCATTACATTCTGTGCATGAGTGGTCAGATTTGTGAAATAATTGGATTATAAACTATTGAGGGCTTGCTCAAGTGAAGTTAATTTTAAGCAAGTTGTTTCCCAATTTAGACAGTGGCACATTATAATAAATGTTACAGCGTACAACATTGTGATACATATAATCATCATGTGTTAGTAATAAGCAGTTACACAAGTAGCATGAAAAATACTACAGTTGTTTCTCAGTTCATGAAGCTATGTCCTGTCCAGTTTATCAGTAATTGTTGTCTATTAGTGATGTATTCCAATACTATGCATGTACTCCTTTCTTCAGAACTACAATATGTTAGCAATTAGGGCCATGTTAACAGTTCTTGATGATCGTGTAAAAGCCACCAGCCAACCACTACAGGAGAATGTTGTCCCCATTGTCAGTGCTTTTTGTCAGATGGCTCGTGGAGACAACATGATCAGAAAGTATCTGCGCCAGGAAGTATTGCCTCCTCTTGGACGGGTGGGGACCACTCGCCCTGAAGAAGGACATTTGATAAGGAATGAGCTAGTCAGGCTAATGACGTCTCCACTGGAAGATATTAAGGTGGGTGGCAATTATGGCACACAGTTGTAATGGTTTGGAATAAATTAATGGAAGGTGGTGGGAGAAAGATGGTTACTGAATTCTTATCCTAGAAGTTAAAGGAGTGTAAAATACAGTGTACCTTGTTTTTATGGATTGCAAATGAAAAATTATCATTATGTACTAATATGTGGAATAATTCTCCCAGGTTGATCGATTCTTACTTATGATTTGTTGGAGGATAGATGTATAGATGATATCAATAAACAAATTCCACATTGCCATGCTCCTGTTTAGCATTAGAAACGTGGATGACATCAAAATGTGGTAAGAACATCAGTGACACCTCACCTAATGGCCCATGTGTCACTTTGCTTGTTCTTACCACCTGTGATCTATTAAAGAATTAGATTATGAGCTCAGATTTCTATCGCACAATAGTTGATGAGGGCGCAGCCTGAGTCAACTGTCACGCATAGAAATCAAGAGCGAATAATCCAATTATTTTAGTAATAATCTACCAGCCATTCAAAACTTTATTTAAATCCCCTTCACAGACACTTTGAAAACATCAGGAAGTGGCCGTCATTTTGTTAACAAGGGCACACTGCTACATGTACATTACCCACTATCTATCACAGAATAGATAGTGAGTAGTGGAGCCAATCAGAGAACAGCATTTGTTGATAGAACACTAGTAGATTTATACTAATACTGAATAGATGCATGGAAGCAAGGAATCTACTTGTTAATGGACAGCTGGAAAATAGGGAAACAAAGCTAGGCACAGTTCCACAGTCCTAATTTTGAGAACTTGATTTTTAGTAAATTGTAGTAATACATCTCTGCCACCCTAGACTATTATTGTGATAATGTTGTTATTTGAAATGCTGTGTGAACCATTGACTTTCAAATGCAAAACATTTCATTATGGCAGTGCCCTCTGCCCATTTCTCCCTTCTAAGCAGAGTTGGAAGATAGAGAGAGATAGCAGTATCAGTTGGTTGTAGCAGAAAGATGAATCACTGATATAGTTTGAGATTCTCAAGATAATCCACATTTGAAAGTATTTGTGTTTGTGCTTTCTTCAGGAGCTTGTAGCAGACTTTTTGTTTGTTCTCTGTAAAGAGAATGTGAATCGTCTTATCAAGTACACTGGATATGGGAATGCTGCTGGGCTTCTGGCATCACGTGGCCTCATGGGAAATGTTCAGCCTCAGAGCAATGGAGATTACTCTTCTGATGACGAGGATTCTGAGACTGAAGACTATGCCATGGACAAGTCACAGATTGATCCAATCATTGGTGAGGAAAACCTTAGAGAAAACTCTTGTCTGCAGCAAATAAGAACCTGGTTCAATTTTGAAGCTCAACAGGTTCTTATAATTATATGGGGATGTAAATTCCAAGATTTTATCCCATAGGTTCTCAATCACTAAAAGATCTTTAAAGATCATTGTTTATTTTTGGCAATTGGTTTATTGTTACTTCTTTGATGTTTTTGTACATTAGCGAGCTAGAATTTCAAGAGGATTCTTTGATTTAAAAAAAAAATTCTCACTAACAAGAGACATGACCTATATGTATTATACAACAGAGCACAGGCTTTGAAGAAGATTTTAAAGAAGAAATGTAACCTTGCTTAATGGCATGTCAGTTCACAGATTATGGATTTTATTTGTTATTAGGAGCCATTCCAAAAGATGATGGCAAACCTAATCCATTGGATGAAATGAGCGAGCAAGAAAAAGAAGAAGAAGCTGAGAAACTGGCCAATCTGATCCGTGACCTGAACAGGAAGGGCCTAATCAAGACCGCTCAGGTGGGCCCTGATGGGAGGCCTCAAGAGTTTCAAGGGGCGCATCACATGGGTGAACAGGCCTCAGAGCAGGAAAATGAGCCTGCTGAGCAGGCAGAGTCAACAGCAAATGGAAAAACAGAAGATACTAAGCCAATGGATAGTGAAGGCAACTCAACAAGTTAAGATTATGTAGTTAAAAAATCGTAAGACAAATAAGGCCAAAAAGGTACAGATTTTAACGCATCTGAAACAAGTGGTCAAGTTTGGGAGAGAAAATACGGTTATAGCCTATTTGATTTATCTTTGGCTATTACAGTGCGTTTACTGAAACCATAGCCTCCCACGCAGACACTCTTAGGGCTCGTCACTTGTTCCTCCCACGAACTTCATTCAGATTTCATTGTTTTGTACCGGACATTTGATTGGCTGGATTTGAAAATGTTGGAATCTATTGTTTCAGTGCTGCCATTTGATTGGTTTACATTGTCAGGGTGGCCCCAGTTTAAGTAAATGCACTGTAAGCGAAAATGCACTTTAAGTTACACAACAAAACTGCAGTATTTCGTGTATTGCATCTTATTAGTCAAAAATTGTATTGTTGTGATCAGACTTGGAAGACACAGTCGACCATTCTCAATAACTCGTAGAAGCACAAGAAAGAAGGAAAGTTTCATTGGGATAATGCACTTTTGGTTAAGTCTTGTTATAAAGTGAAGCCTTGGAGCCGACTGGCTCATAGCTGCCGGAGCTTATCCCAGTTTCTGTAGCATGAAGCGGCTAGGAGTATTTCTACTCCCCCTGGACGGGATGCTAGTCCATCACAGGTCACTCCCCCGCAATTTGTTAGGTTTCCCCAACAATTCGCCAGTACCCATTTATACTCCTGGTTGGAGAGAGGCACTGTGAGAATTAAGTGTCCTGCCCAAAAACGCAACACTGTGTCCCCCGCCAGGGCTCAAACCTGGACCGCTCGATCTGGAGAAGAGCACACTAACCATCAGGCCACCACCCCTCCACAAAGTCTTGTTATACAAAGTGCAAATTTCCAGCTGGTTTTGTCCATAATAGGTGCACTTAACAGTTGTTCGTCAGCTTGTTTGAGCTATACTGCATTATCCTTGGAGCAAGAAAACAGGTACTTTCTGTGTCTGAATCACAGGGAATTATTTCGCTGGGATTTTAAATGTGCTCTCGGCTAGTAGCCTGCTAATGCAAGGTCTGGAATCGAGAAACCTTCAAAACTGAGCTTTAAGGGGAAAAAACAGTTGTTAAAGAGCTCAGTCATGGTTTGCACATATTAAGAGTTTAGCCTCAATTTTTCAAACTCGTTTTTTGTAATCCGTGTTAATCTTCTCCATCCTTAGCCATCCTTGTTCCTCTATGTTTTATCATTATGTCTTTGGTGATTTTCTATCTTCTTAAACTGTTAATTTCAGGTTTCCTATCATTTGAAGGTAATTTTGTATGTGGCCAAAATAACTCAAAATACCGTGACTGAGTCCCTTTAATACAACTGTATATTGCACATTTTTATTCTCATTTTCAGAAATTTATTTGGACCACAATGTAAACTAATGGTTGTCTGGTTATCAATTATTTCCCTTTTGGTGTAATCGGATGTTCAAAGAATTTTCTGCAATTTCTCTGCCATCTTAGAACATAAAATGGTCACCACGTAGATTTAAATGTAAAAGAAAAGGTACGATATAACCTTTAACCCTTATTTTCATTCACAGCCCTCAGTAATTGAATTTGACTGATAATTTTTTCCTATTTTTTTCTCGGTGGCTCGTGGTCCTCTCACTTCGTTGTTTTTTAATGAATTTAACTCTGTCTTCGAGGAAGAATATTTATTAAAACAACGTATGTTGATTTTGGGAGTACTTTAAATCAAACCCACTGTTGAAGAAAACGAGTGCATGGTCAGAACGGACTCAAGTGACGCCATGCCCACAGAACAATGTAATTTAACAGTAACTTATAATTTCATACAATTTATATCAGAATTTAATATAAAAGCTATGCAAATGGCAAAGGGAGTCCCATTACTTTTGTACAAAAGGGAGGCTTGTAAAAATTAATTGAGAGTTGCTTTTTCTCTCCATTATCTCCTGTTTTTGCTTTCTTTTGCTTGTTTTGTGGGCTTTTTCGTTTCAAAGAAAGGGCCCATATTCTCCCCCACCTCCCACTCCCCGTTCTTTGGACCCAAAGTAACAAGTAGGTTAATCGTTTAATGGAGAGCGCAACATCATCTTCTAAGTAATTTTTTTCTGTTCACTTGTTACGTCATTCGTCAGCGTGGCGTTTTACGTGCCTGTGTATTAAGAATAAAAAACAAAAACATAATAATTGCCAGTGATGGCAGTAATCAAGTCTTGTAAAATACAAACAAAGTAACAAGTGTAAAAAGTAGTGTGTATGTAGCTTACAGACAAAAGACTTCAGCTGCTGTACGTGGCGCACGTCAAGGTAAAACAGAATATAATACCTTGAATGTTTGAGGTGAGAACTGTGTTCTTCAAGTGATGCCAATAAAACATTCTGTCTTAATGTTACTCGTCACTTTTGTCTGGGCTTTGAGTTTGGTATGATTATCAGTATTTCTTTTCTCTCCATACCAAGGACATTAATTTTCAAATCCTGATGTACGTTGTGACGGATTTTGCTGACCGTCTTCGCAGACAGTGGAAGTAATAACTTGATAGGTCTCACCTATGTAGATCCTTCTGTTGTACTGTAAAATTCCGGTTAGAAGTCTTGGGCTTGTACAACTTCATAAGGGTTTTGGAGGGGATTGTATTTAGAAGCTCATAAACGTTTTAAGGAAAAAATGTTTCCAAATGGGCTGATGGAACCAACATCCAACAGTGTTATAGCTATTAAGGGACGTGTTACCTTGGGAACATCAAACACAAGGCATAAATAACGAAACAAATACGAAAAACCCCGGAAGAATGGGATGGAACTCTCCCACGCCCCATACTCCTGTCACCACTCTCCCTTTCGCGTCCCCACCCCGCTCCAGTTTTACACAGGCTACCAGGGAGTTACGCCGCCAATATACTCGTATTTGCTGAGGTTTGTGAGGTAGGTGTACAGCAGTTAATAGGAGACTTAAGAGTTGAGTTCGAGATCAACTTCAATTCTAGTTTGCAGGCTTCACATTATCACGTCACATACCCATCTCATCCCATGAACTACCCTCTCTGCGTAAAACCAACATGAAGAGCCAGGGCTTTGGAAACGTCACTGGTTTGAAATTCGAAAATCGTACTCGTACTAAATCTGATAGTCCAATCTAAATGTCCCTCATAGAGGCCGAGAGCAGAGCGTCTCGTAAACTGGCTTCAACTTATCCAGCGTCAAAAGGCTTTATTTGTGTATCACTCACTCAGTCTTTCTGTAGCACCTACCTTTTTTACGGGGCAGGGTTTCAAAAGGCGTCTTCCAAACGAATGTCTTCCAAAAGAAGACATCCGAGAAAAATGCAGTTTCTTACATGACCTCACACATGAGTGAAACTTTCAACAAGCCAACAGTAGGAGGGTGTGTGGAGGGATGCACATCTGAGGGGGGGGAGGGAAGAGTTTTTTCAGTATGTGAAACGTTTCGTTCCGTTTCACAAGGCCAGGTGAAGTGAGAAAACCGGTAATGATGATGCAGGAGGTGCTTCACACGTAAAATAACTCTCAATCTGTACATGTCTTTACAACTTTTCTACAAAGTAACATTGATCTATGTCAAAATGAATCTATATTCGCAATCATTTTCTGACTGTAAATAGGGTTGCTATGTAACAATCGTTTCAAAATGTTTAAACGAGCGAGTACGAGATTATAGCGGAGATGGTTTATTGTTTTCTTTCTCTCTTTGTTTTTTTGGGACGGATTATTGCTAATGGATCATCAAGACTTTTGACCAAGATTTGATTTTCGTGACAAAACTGGATTAAATGGAATATATTTTGTTCGATCAACGCGCTTAGCAACCATTTGTTTTGCGAAATATTAACTAAGGAGAATTTTTGTTTGAGGAAAACCCAGGCAGTGACGCCATTGTTTTGGAAATGTTCCTTTTTCAAAATGTTTTCCGTCCAAACTAAAACGCGAGCCCCCGTTTTCAAATTCCTCCGGTTTGAAGAGCGTTTTCGTAAAGCTGCGTTTTTGTGACGGATTAGTGTGGACCAACCTAACCGTGGAAAGAAAGCCGTCTTTTCAAATTTATCCGGCGTTGTGCTAACGGGACCTAAAAATCTACCAATAAAAGGCTTTGCCTTAAAGCCAGAATAATAACTAGCTAATAAGTAATAACTCGCACCAAATGCGATTTGTTGATAAATAAGGCTCCAAATTACTTAAATTTCCTACGGATGATTTTATAGTGATTTTATGGGGATCCCGACTGGACATAAAGTATTTGCATTCCGGTTTACATTCCCACCATCAAAAGATTTCATTATTACTGTGTGACAAATCAGGTCGGCACACACCAAGACGCATGTTGAAAGCCCAGTACTCATGCTGGTGCGCACACGGTGCGACACAGGTCATTTTGCCCCTGCTTATTCAAACCAGTTGAATTTCATGCAACATGATCCGGGGACAACATTTTGCCTCCGCAAAAGCGACGATGTCACACGCGGAACATGTCCCCGCATCGTGTCCCTTAGTGGGCGCCAGCCTTTCACCTGACATCTCGAGACAAAGTTATGACCATGTGCGACTTTTGACAGTCTGAAAAATATTGACATTTTGTATTCATTGTTGGCAGAAAATTTACATATAACTAATTTCCGTGTGATTTGTACGCACACGGTCATGGCAAATCTAAGTCTCTACTATCATATAGTGTATCTTATCGGAATTATTTTCTTTTCGTTACCATTGAGAATTTCAGGTAAGTTGCTGGTTTATCAATGTTTTGATTCATTTGAATAGTAAGACACGCCATTCTTTATATCTATAAATATAAAAATTGATATTTTCTACTCGGTCGTTTTAGCTCTGAGATTCTAAGCATTGTTGTGATGAAAGATCATAGCAAACGATCTGTGTTGCTTGAGAAGCTGTTCCCTTCCTTTGAAGCAGCTTACAGTATAAGCGATGTTCTTTTCACCGGGTTAAAGCGCACGCCATTTGCATGTGTTTGATTCGTTTATGGGATTATGCCCCTCTCTTTTATCGTCAACACATTTAATTCAGACGGAGATCGTTTCCTTCGAAAGCAAATGAACAATGTAGTAAAATGAGTAGCTTTCCTTCAAAAGGAATTCATAAACGTTTCATTAAAAAAGAATAGCAACCTGTGATTAACCCCGTTTAAGAGCCTAATCTTCGAAAGTGTCCGAAATTTACATACTCGAGCGACTAATTTACTAATAAACAGTTGCCCCTTTTTTCTCCAGATTAAACTCTGTTCGTTGATTTAAAATTTTTCCCGAAGAATGGATATGTAGCGAAAACGATCCTTGCTTTTGCTTTTAATCACCTGTGGAAGCCGATCGTACATGCAACAGAAATTTGAAGAGTCGAAGTTTTAGGCTCCCACTGATTTTTGTTCGTAACAATACGACATGAACATCAGGATATTGCGTCAGCCGGTCTGTACATTGAAAACAAAAAAAGTTAAAACTACAGCTAGCGCTCTGACGTTGATTTCTTTTCCTTTACGATGTAAGTATTCCTTTTTAGGGTTTTACAGTACGCTAGAGTATAGTGTTTGTTTCGCCGGTGAAGAGGGACGATAAGATTAAAACAGTTCACCAAGGAAACGCGTTCTTGTTTAAACATAGCTGCATTCTTCCGTCTGCGAAGATTCTCATCCATCAAATCATGGGACTTAAACTGAGGTTTGTGCCATGGATAAGACAGAACTCGTTGGTTGAGAATCCGGAGGTCCCAAGAGAATCTTAGTGTTAACCCTCTAAACTTCGTTACAAGATAAGAATTTCAGTTCAAAACGACATGTAATAATTTCCTGAAGTTTGCTTTTTTAGAAATTCATTATTTTCAAATTAGAACCTTTAAATTGAAACCGAAAATATTTTTAACCTATTGTAACAATGAAACTATAACTTCCAATCTTTCAGTCTAACGAAATAACTGAAACACCTTTTTTAGTATAATAATAATGATGTATTGAAAAGTGCTATTTCCTTTCTTTCTAATTATAGTCTCTTCAAACAAAAAAAAAAGGAAAGAAAACATAACCAAACTTTTTCTTTTCTCCATATTTCATTAACTTCGTCACTTTACAGTTTGGGTCCCACGTAAAATAGAATCATTTCCATTTAGAATTATTTACAGCGTTTTGCGTGACTACCTCAAGGCGTGAGGGTTCTCTAACAGGTCTTATTTTGACATTGATTGTTTCGCTGAGACACGCAAACAGCAGGTGCACTTCACGCTGATTTATTTACTGTTTCTTGTGCTGAGAAAATTAATTTTCAAACTGTGTGGCTATAATATGTTCGTTTGCAAACAATTATTTGCGCCCACGTGGGATCGGGTGACATTGATTAGAAAACTGCTCAAATTTGATAATTCTACTCGTGTGCGACTAAACTGTTCTTGAATACTTGTTGGCAAGACCATGTATGCACTGGTCCAGGTCACTCATGTCTAGTTTCAGCGTTGAACAGAGCATGTAAATAATTTCATCTATCATAAGCCGGTGACTAATATTGGAAAACTTTCAATACACAGACCAACTACAATCTACAGGGACGGTGGAGCCGGGGGGGGGGCTTAGGGGACTACAGCCCCCCCCCCACGATTTCAAGCAAAAAATACATAAAGTGATTCTACAAATATTTCCAGACCCCCTACAAGTAAAC